GGGGGGGGGGGTTGGGGGGGGGCTTCGCCCATTGAAAAACAAAAAAAATCAAAATCAAGATAAAAAATTAAAAGAAAGTTCAGACTTGGAAATTGTTTAAATTCAAATTTCTCAATTTAATTGGGTATAAAAAAATAGAGAAAAAAAATAGAAAAAAAAATAAAAAAACTGAAATCGTTATGACTTAATGTAAAAAATAATAGCTAGTAAATTCTGTTGAATTACCCAAAAACATGGGGTTGGTGATGAAAATTTTGTACTTGCAAAAAAAAATTGCATCAAAATTAAAAAATAAGAAGAGATACCAAGGACAAGGGTTCATACTCAGTGGTTTCAAATTTTTTTCATTTATTTCGAACAGAAACTGAACATAAAAACACTGATATTTTGCGAATTAACCTTTTTCATCACGCTGTGACGAAAAGTGAACTTTTCGGCACGCTCCGCGTGCCTAAAAGTCCAATTTCCGCCACATTGTGATGAAAAATATCGTTCGATACTCGTGGGAAAAGTGTTTTTTGGCTCTTGAGATTATATCACTCGCCTTCGGCTCGTGCTATAAACCTCCCACGAGCCAAAAAACACTTTTCTGCACTCGTAACGAAATATACTATTTCGAACAAAAATATCAACCTGAAGTGAATTAAAAAAACTCTTAAATTAAATTTTCTTTATCAATCACAAATATTGCTTTTATCTTATATCTGCATTCAACAAATTTCTTATATTTGCATATAAGAAAATATAGAACTCCTCATTTGCTTACCAAAGTTATGATTATCAATCTAAACAAAAATACAAATATCTTACTCTCAATGTCCGCATCACTAAACATGTCATGAGACAGTACTTCCTGATCGCTTTCATCACTATCTGGGACAATAAAATTCTCCATTTTCGTTTATTTTTCCCCGAGTTTCGTCACAATTTTCTCCTGAACAGTTATCCGATGTACAACGACGCACAACAACAATATCGTGACTGCTACTTTTATTACCGGCTGGTTAGGTTACAGAGAAGGCTGCTAACAACGCTGTAAATCTTATTGGACTGTACATTTTCCCGAACGCAGGGCGCTTACCCAAGTGACGATTTGATCAGCTCACTTCACGTCGCGCTTTATCGGTCCTTGGAGTGGTAAGTGAGACATACCATACCTGGTCCTCCACTTACCATCCTTGGACCACCGATTATAGAACTGCAGTGTTAATAGTACATTAGAGTACAAGGGCATAAATTTCGTTTTCAACGAATGTGTAGTTTACAGGCCGAGCCGAAGGCGAGGTCTGTACACACATTCGTTGAAAACGAAATTTATTACCGCGTGCTCTATAATATTTTATGTCAAGTCGTGCAGAAGTCGAGTTTTGAGCAAGCTGCGCGAAGCGCAGCGTGCGATAAACTCAACTTATTGCACGGCGCGACATAAACGCCATTTACCCCCTCCCAACGGAGCCCCAGTAACCACCGTTTATCGGGCCTCAGTGACGAAATAGTTATATTTTTTATATATAGAAATCGCCCAAAAATGCTCTATAGCACTTATATCTAGAATATATGCAGCATATATGCGTCTATATGCTGAATATATGTGTCATATATACATCATAGATTTATTTATATGTTCCACATATATAATTTTCCGTGCGGGCAAGAACAAGTTATTTTATCAGTTATTTCTTGCGGTTGAAGTAATTCCATCAACGAAACTGTTTTTTCTCTTGAAATTGCTCATTATGTAGCTCATGCCAAAACACCACTAAAAAATCGGTTTAACAGTTCCTTAGTTCGGTATAGAATTCATTTTTGTCGATGCCCGATGTTTATTAATAGAATGACGAAAATATAAAATTTCAATGAAATTACCCGCTTTTTCAAAAAATCAATACCCCTTATTTCAATTATCCATTTCTATTTTTCCAATAGATACTGTAACGGAGTGGATTTGAATTGTGGCTGTCCCCAGCGCTGGGCCATCAAAGACGGTTACGGAGTGGATTTACTCTCAAAACCTCAGCTGGTGAAAGACCTCGTCCTAACCGTTCGAAATCGCATCCCCGCCCCCTTCACAGTCTCTGTCAAGATCCGACTCTTGAAGGAACTCGATAAAACAATCAATCTCTGCAGAATCCTCGAAAAATCCGGTGTGTCCTTTCTAACGGTTCACGCGCGTACTCCACAGATGCGTAATCAGCCGATTGATCTAGCTTCCCTGAAAACTATTCGAGACAGTGTTCAAATCCCCCTCATTGCCAACGGTGGTGTAAACACATTGGAAGAAGCCGAGAAACTCTACGAATCATCAAAATGTGAGGGTATCATGGTAGCCAATGGACTCCTCACAAATCCAGCGCTCTTTTCAGGATCACCCATTACCCCTTTATCTTGCCTTCAAGACTGGCTAAATATAACGGCAATAATTCCCACCAATTTCCTCACAATGCATCATCACCTTGTTTTCATGCTCGAAAAGGTCCTTCCCAAAGCCCAACGACAGATATTCAATAATCTACAGACACGAGAATCTTCATTGGAATTTCTCCACTCTTACTATGAAATTGCTCCTCAGAATTCACTCGAAAGCCTTGAGCCCATTGTCTGTTCATATCAACTGCCACTCAGACTTAATTCAAGTGTCAATGCAAAATCTGATAATGAAAATAATTGGGAATTATTTCCTAGTCTCTTTGACGAAGAAAATTCGTCATTCATTAGCGATCTAAATTGACGATTTGATAAATTGATGCGTGAAAATTTCGAGATGATTTGGTGAAAGGAATATCGAGTATAAAGTTGCAGGGGGAGTTGGAGCGAGATGCATGTGCATGTTTTCCTGGAATCGATTGGATGTGAACGCAGACGCATAGGCTTGCGCCTTGGGGCTGTGTTTGTGGAGCTCCAGGAATAAAGTAGTACTGCCAGCATATTCGGCGATGGCAATTCAGAAGGCTATCAAACCAGTTGTGCATTTGATTAGTATTATCACTCGATTCTGAATTTTGGAAAAGTCATTTGTAGTTATTCAACTCTTTTGTGAGTAGCAGCAAAGTGTTGCGGAAGTGAAGGAGGATTCACCCTTGGAATAATGTAAGGGGGGACGATTGGTCAAGACGATTCAAGACGATGGGTCAAAGCATTAAGTGTGAATTGAATCTCGGTTGCGTATTATTTCACCATCAGCGTGTCAACGACAGCCGAGGGTATACTGGATACGTTAAAATGTGAGTAGTTACATCTGCTAATTTTACAGAATCATCAATGATTTTTTTTTCAATTCTAACAATTTTTAATACATTTAAAATTTTTTTCATGATTGAATATACTTATTTCTTTCATTTTTTCACTAAGTTCTTAACATTCTCCAATAATGGCTGGGCGTATTGTAGATAACTCTAGAGTTTGAATAAAATGATAACTGCGATCTATTTGCTCATTGAATTATTGCATGACAGAGCTCCATCGATCGTTTTCCAGTTTTCGAGAGATGAGGTGCTATCGTATTTTTAATTTCGATTTTTTGTCAACACTATGCGAAAAAAATGAAAATATTCCGACTTCATTGGTGCACGTTCAAATGGTGCATGGTAAATTCCAGTCATCCATTCCAGTTAATCATGGAGACAGAGAGAGGTGATGAATTTCTCACCAAGAATGGTAACAGTTATATTGTCGGGCCGGTAGATTTTGCACGGCTAACGTGGCAACATTTCTTTTGTACGAATGACAATGATTGCACTTGCATATTCCCTTGTTTCTGATTGAACTAGATGATCCGATGGGCGCGCTTGTGATAGTCTGTTCAATTAGCTGTTTGTAATCTGTTTACTACAATCTTAATTTCAGCCTTTTACATTACTATTCAATTGATGATTTTGCTTCATAATTTTTCTGTTAATAAAATTACCATTTAAGAAAATTCTTGAGGTTGATCAATGCCCATTCAATCTATTTTAGAACGAGTTAACAGTTCCATGGTCAACGGAATATCGGAATTTACGCTGGGTAAGAGCAGGAGTTCATTAACATCGGCTAGAACTCAGTAGTTGAACGGTCAGCATGAATATCAGTTCAGTTAGTCGGTTTGACGATTCATTTAATCATCAAATTAATTCAGGCAAAATTAGAGGAAAAAGGACTACTAATTAACAGTTTTGATCATGCACACTTTCGCATCATACATTAACTTTTTATTTTCGTAAAAGCGATATGTTAGGCTGATTAAGTGAAACAAAACACTAATGCTATACTAACTCACTGTGTTATAAAAACACTAATGCTATACTAACTCAATCATTGCGCGCCACAATTCATTGGGTTCAGAGAAATTTTCGTGACTATTTCAGTTATGCTTCAAATCAAATATCTCACCCTCAATTCAATTTACGAATAAGAGTGACAGTGTTTTTGTAATAGTAAATATAAAAGCCTTTAGCCCATGTAACTGTAAGTGAGGAAATTCAAAATCCACACAGTGATCTATAAAACAGACACTAAAACATTCAATGATAATGCGAGTGAGGCGATAAAATCCACAATTACATGAAAAATTTGATGTCTAAGATCATTCCGAGGATGGGAATTTAATTCCAAAACCTCTTTTACCTTAACGCATATATTGGTAACATTACTAGACTCAAATTGGTTAAAATGAGTTCAAATTAATTAAAATTAATTAAAATTGGTTCAAATTGAATGTATTGTAAACTTTTGCTATGAAAAATTCTCATAAAAAATTGACTAGAATAGGGAACTTGAACAGGGAGCATGAATTTTTGTTATTTTGTAATTTCAAATTTCGACCTTAAGGTCTTTATGACGTGAGGGTCGAAAAAAGTAACGAAATCGATGATTTTTTCAATTCTTTTTTTTCGTTTTTTTTCTCTTTTATTACATTCTCTCATTTTTTCAAAACCTGGCAAAATCCCGGATAGCCTAGGAGAATGGGTGAAACAGCAATTTTTCTAAAAAATGCATTTTAATACGGGCTCTTATGGGAATTCTAACTTGGTACTTGCACTTAGCACTTGGGTTAAGCTATCATGGAGGAACATAATAGTATATTTCGTTACGAGTGCGGAAAACTGTTTTTTGGCTTCGGCTCGTGTGCTATAAATCTCCCACGAGCCAAAAAACACTTTTCCCACGAGTATCGAACGATATTTTTCATCACAATGTGGCGGAAATTCGACTTTTAGGCACGCGGAGCGTGCCGAAAAGTTCACTTTTCGTCACAGCGTGATGAAAAATATTGTTCCACACATGTGAGACGATGTATAGATAGAAGGAAAAATGTACGAGAAGTATATATTTTTTGAGACTATGCATCACAAAAATCCTGGGAGTTGAGTAAATTTTGAAATCCGTTTCTGAGGAATGTTGGATATTCATGGGAGATCAGTAGATTATAGATATGATTTGCCAGCTCTCACTTTTCTCCGATAGTAAACGATTTTCCCGCAAATTTCCTTATCTCCCTAAAATCCGAAAGTGAAGTATAGAGAAATTGTCTCATTTTACAACTACAACGAGAGAAAATTAGGAGAGGATGATGCTTTTTTCTTCATCAAGTTTTTCACGTGTAGAGCATGGGTACCCGAAGAACAGGATTCACAAGCCTCGGGGGTGGATCATCGATTTCTCGAGGAAGTGCTGGAGTTCTGAAAGACCGTGCTAACATGTCATTCATGCTCGTTGTCATGTTCTTCGCGGTATTCGGTCTCATTGTGCTGACAGAGATTTTTCTAATCGATGAGAGACGATCTAACGGAGGTACTGGAGCCCTTGGAGGACACAGGAATGGTCATCGCATGGCAGGACCTCCCGATCGTCCTGACTACGAGGAAGTTGCGGTAATTGTCTCATAGATTGGTGGAACGCAATAAGTAACAGGCTTATGTGCAGATAATTTATTTTTGATCATGGAGAATAGAAGGATTCACAAGAATTTTTGTGAGAAATCTCAAAGATGATGAAAACAATAATGTGAAGAAATCTTCAGAAACTAGCAGTCCTCCAGACATTTACGAATTAATCTGCACATTAACCTTTCACTCGCCTTTCCGCCTTTTGTCAGTTCACTCTAGAGTTTTTTTTATTGAACTGAGACATCTCAACAAAATTTGGCAGGCTGAGGATTATGTTGGATTAAAGGGGGGATTTGATGCACAAGTGGGGCTTCTTATTCACGGAGATAGCGGTGCAAAAGTTCCACCAATTCCTTCAGACCCCAGGGGTTTGTCGAGTTTACCACCGAATATGGAACAGCGGCTTCCAACTCTTGACCAGAGCCTCAAAATGACTCATGCTGAATGGCTTCCAGTAACGAACACCAGGTAAAGAACAGTATGACACCAATAAGATTTTCTCATTTTCTCATTTCACAATCATTTAATTATGAATTTACAAAAGAGGAGCGGGGCAGTAGAAAGATGGGGCCAAATGGAACGGTTGCAAAAAATGATTTTTTTCCCTACGCGAAATTCAGCCGACTATTTTATCAGAAAAATGAAGGATCGAACGTTCTAAAAGGCCAAATAACCGAGACCTGAGGGTTCGGGTTATAAAAAGGATCTTAAGTTTGTAAGGATCGAAGATGCAAGCCAAGTGGACTAATCAAAAAGTTCATACGTTTTTTGACTCTTACGGGAGAATTAAGAGCAGGGAAAAAGAAAATCTTGGTTTCTAGTAACAATCTTAGATTTCAGTATTCAGGAATACTGCACTCCAGAGAGCAAAAAGTTCTGTATTTTACTTATTTTAAGGCACTTATTTCACCAATTTTCACATATTTTAAGAGAATTTCCTCTAAAAATCAGAGGATACGTTCTCGTTTTCAACCATTTTTACTGAAATAAAGTACTCATGGTGCTTGGATCAAAGTTTTCTCTCATTTTCTCTCATTTCAAGGCACTTTGGTTGTGGAATCCAGTACTTTGAGTTCTTATAACAAAAACCGTTGGGTACAGAAATTAAGAACCCTGGGTTCTTAAATTGAAATGTTTTTCGACTCAAGTTACCTTTGTTGATTACGGTGCGACGGCTTGGAAATTGCCCGACTCCTCCATCATGAATCGTCACAAATTACAAAACCCCCTCCCTTGCTTAATCGCGTAGCGTAATATTTGAATGCCACCAACAGCTCTTGATTTAAGAACCCAGGGCTCTTAATTTCAGTACCTTGATTTCATTAACTAACCGTTCTGAACTTGAGAACTGTTTGCCCTGAAACTATAATATTTTTTGTCACTAAGGCGAAAGACAATTCTGGCGATTATGAATTCGCAACCCGTACCAAAGTCGAGGGATGCCAACATGAGCTAGAAAAGTTTTTTTCGGCCAAGCGACGAACGATGTTTTTGGTCATAACAGCCGTAGGCAGAATTTCACGGGTGCGTAGCACCCGTATCAAAATCGTATTTTTGGTATCGAATTTAAGGGATTTTCCCACTGAACATGAGTAAATAGTTTCTCGATTTCAGTACCGAGATTCTGAAAACCAGGAATTTTTTTCCTCTGCGAATCGAGCAAGGTTGTTTTTCACTGCCCTTATCTCTGTTTGACCGTTCACTGAGGAGAAAAAGTTTCTAGTTCCAGTAAAAATGTAACCTCGTGCACAAAAGGCTGCTCTAGGCCTGGTCTGAGGGTAGCTTAGATAACTTGGGGGAAAATTATAGCTATGTTTGCAGATGATGATAATGTTTTCACCACCATTAGCTAATGAGTATTGATATAAAAATTGAGGAAATTAATCGAAAGTAACTTTAATTTTCGAGGCCTTGCTGAGCCCTGAATAAGCCTTGACGTACTGAGCCTGAATACTGAAAGCCTGGACTAGGCCTGGATTGAGCCTCGCCAATGGCCCCTTTAATCATCCTCATTTGAAGCTCAAGTGAACGATGAAACCAAGCCTATCCCAGGCCTGAATAACTGAGCCTCGCCAACCCTGGGCTCATACAGGCTTGTTCTCATCGTCAGCCTATGTAATTCTTACCTGGGAATTGCGGCACAAGAAACATAAAAACCCGAGTATAAACACAATGAATGTGCAGATACGAGATACATTTTTCTGTTCCGTATTACCGAAGGGGTATATAAAGGGTGATTAGTGAACAAAACATGTTTGGAACTTACAAACATATCTCCAGATGCTTTAGAGATACGTGCCTTTTTTTACTAAGATACTCATCACATACATTTCACTCACTCCGAATTTTCGGAGATACGCTTCTTTGTTTCCAATATATACGGAAAGTTTTTACAATATTCTGACGTATACGAGTCTGGAGTAAAAATAGAGATACGTTTATGATATACGCGTTTACAAGTTGATCAACTGAGGCAGCTGAGCTTGGAGATGAGCTTCACTTATTCGCTCCCAATCGTGCTTTGCCCTGGCAGAGTCCAGTAAAAACACTCAAGACCTAAAATTACAGAGCAAATATTTTCACAATCCGTATACGCTATCATTAACCCATAACTAAAACAGTTAAACATCTTCTTTACCAAAAAGATGAGCTCAGGTGTCACCGTGAAACTGTTCTGCTCTGTAAATTATAATTATTACAATCCATCGTATTACTGACAATGCGTCACACTCCACATTTTAATCTTGCTATTCTATTCCAGATATAAATTTTTTGTATACTCAGCCTACTTCGACGATCGTAATGGAGGCAATCCCACGTCGAAGCATACCTTGAAATCTCCAAAGTCACTAGGTTCAATTCGAATAATCGGTGCAACTAAAACTCGGTCACCGGAGCGGGTCTGGTGTCGCCTCTGGTACAGACGACCCCCAAACACCTCAAACATAACTTTGTCAGTAACAGTAGCCGCAAAAACCAAAGTGATTCGAGAGAATTGGAACTTGAAGTACAGTGCGTGCTTCGTGATTTGTCCTTTACCAAAAGAAGCACCAATCGGTGCTGACCTGGAAAAGCCTATTCCCGAGGCTGTAAGCATTGTTGCGAGACTTAGAGCATCACCAACTAATCGAATACTCGTGCAGAATCGACCAGAAGACAGACCCACCGACCGTGAACCACTAGGAGTCTGCGTTAAACCACTTCATTACGACTACAATAGAGTTCTGCAATTAGTTGAGTTTATCGAGCTTCACCGGCTCCTTGGAGCCTCTCACATAACGTTGTACAATGACACTGTTGGTAGTGAAGCTGGATGCGCCCTTCAATACTATAAGAGCTTGGGAATCGTCAATATACTACCCTGGCATCATCTTGACATGATTTCACAGAGGGAAATTCGGACTGAGAACCTTTTTGCGGCCCTTAATGACTGCTTGTATCGATCCATGTATAAATATGAATTCGTGGCGCTTCTGGATCTTGACGAGTTTGTTATCCCACGACATAACGACACAATTGTGGATCTTTTAAGGTAAATAGAGTCCAATGAGTATCGATGAGCAAAACAAAATTGAAGAATGAGATAGTATACCGTCCGCATGACACGTACTATTTTTTATCATGAAAGCCCGACAAGGGGCATGCGGTGAGGGTCCAGGGGGGCAGCCTCCCAGCGGCTGGGGGTGGAGCCCCCCCACTATAAAAAAAATCAATGACAAAAAAAAATACTTTGAAGAAAATTGGAATTGGCCTGCCACAGAAATAAAATATAGTAATAAACAAATTTAATTACGAATAATCAAAAATGGGAATACCAAAATTACTTCTTTGGTATTAATGCAGGTGGTTGGAAAAATAATTCAGCTAAAAATTCAGCTGCGGGTCTTCTTGAAATTTCCTTCTCACGAAAAAAATATAAAACAAATGGATAATCGCATTTTCTGTATATGGGTATAGTTTATGTTGCTAACAAACTAGCGATATGCTTCCGAATGGACTCTCTATTTTTGAAATTTATTACTCGCCTTTTTATTGTTTTGAATAGTGACACCCATATGACTCTCTTATGATCCCTATATTACCCTTTTATGAGCCCTATATAACCCCATCTGGCTTCATATGACATCTATGTGGCCCCACATGTCCCTATATAAGCCCACATGACTGCATATCACTTCATATAATCCCGTTTGATCCCCATATGACTCTTGTATAAGCTGATGCGATCCTTGCCGGGCCCCATAACACCATATGACTTCAGATGACCCTCATTTAACGCCTATATATGACTCCATAATACCCCATATGACCTCCATGTAACCGGATATGACCTCCATATAAGCCCACATGATCCAATGTGACCCCCATATGAACCCATATCACTTCATATAACCCCATATGAGCCCGTATGACCCTCATATTGCTACATATGACCTCCATATGACTTCCGTATAACCCTATGCGATCCTCATATGACCCCATATGAACCCCATATGACCCTGTATTATCCCATATGAGCCCATTATGACCTCCATATGACCTAAAGCTTTATATTGCTACTATCCAACTTAATATATAATTACACTGTTTTCATCATCTTTGCACTTCATCGAGAAAGCATCAAAACAATCTTGTTGAGCCATGATTCCATTGATATGACTGTTAATTTTTCCAGTTTATCAGGAAAAAAGGAAAAAAAAATCACAAACTATATGCTGTAGCTCAACAGTGACAGATGCGATTCGCATCATATTCTGATAGAATCATGAGGCTATCAATACAAATTTTTCAAACCACGATTCATTTCATTCTGATAACATTCCTTGGACTGCGCGTCGAAAAATCGATTTCTGAAAAAATATCAATATTTCACAAACTATGAATAATTCAACTTTAATTGGTGTCAATGAATAGAGCCTATTAACGTCTATATCCATGGAAAAATTCATGAAATTTCATCAAACTCCTATAAAGAAAATTGCGAGAAAAAAAATTGAAAAAAGTACACACACATACATACATACATACATACACCATCTAAACAAGTGGATAATCGCATTTTCTGTATATGGGTATGGTTTATGTTGCTAACAAATTAGCATTATGCTTCCGAATGGATTCTCTATTTTTGAAATGTATTACTCTTATTTTTTATTGTTTTGAATAGTGACACCCATATGACTCTTGTATGACCTGATGCGATCCTTGTTTGACCCTATGTAACTCATATATGACCCCAATATGACCTAAAGCTTCATATTGCTACTATGTAGCTTAATAAATAATAGTTATGCCGTTTTCATCATCTTTGCACATCATCGAGACATACATACATACATACAGACACCATCTAAAAATCGCATATTTAGACTTTTTAGACCACATTTAGTTACCCTGACACAAAAATTTGGAAACTTAATTGTGAAAGATTACAAAGCTTCCATTCGGAAGCAAAAAATAGTGAAGCTGCCGAATTTTTCAACAGAATCGGCCAAAAACTAATGGAACATTCAATGGAAATCCAATATAATTTTATAGCGAATTCACTTCAGTCACTTCACAATTTCATAGGTTTTCCTATGAAATTTTTCCGCGCATAGGAGGATGTCAAAAGGCTTTTTTTGGAAATTATTGGAGTTTTGATCATAATATTTTCTAACATTGAAAAAAATAAATAAAATATGCTTAAAAAATTTGATTCACCTCAATTAAAAATTAAAAATAATATATTTCAATATGAGTGAGACGGAATTTTTACGAGGGTGAAGCTGGCGACCAGAGGCGAAGCCGAGGTGAAAATCGCATGAGCGGAAAATTTCCGTCTCACATGTGTCGAACAATATTTTTTGACAGTGATGTTACGTTCAGCAAGTGGCCGAACTGCGTCTTTTTCGTTTACAAGTAAACGAAAAGGCACTGTTCGGCAGGAGATGAAAAAAATAATTCTCCGCACTCGTCTCTCCCTGCCTGTCTCTTCCACCACTCACTTCACCTCATGCCTCAATGAGAGGGAATGATATTCCGTTCATACAGATATGAGGAAAAAAACTTCATTAGAAGAACCAGACGAGAGTTCAGCTTGAATGAATCACTGCAAAATATATACATTATAGAAATAATCAATATTCAGGGTATCTTCATTGTGCAATGAACACATGTGTGATCAAAACGTTAATGGTCGTGGTTGACTATCTCTCTGAAATCATCCATATGGTTCCTTCTCTCAAAAAAATTTGTCCGTTTTCAGCTGGATGAGCAATCGAATAAATACAAAGACTAGCGGCGCATTTTCTTTCCAAAATGCATTTTTCTATCTTCAATGGCCTGACGACCCATGGGTGACCTCCAGCAAAACACAGCCAGAAGCAGGTCTAATAACTCTAAGGAAAACTCGAAGAAGATCAAAACTTCACCCCCACAAACAACGCTCAAAATATATTTGTAAACCACGCGAAGTCGTCGAAGCTGGTAATCACTTTGTTTGGGAATTCTTAACTGGTCGTGGTACCCTGAATGTACCAGCAGATGCAGCAATATTACATCATTATAGAGTCTGTGAATTTGGTGGGGATGATTGCATCAAAACACCATCAGTCATTGACAGAACAGCGTACAAATATCGTGAGAAATTATCAGAAGTTGTTGATAAAACGTGGGGGGAAATTGGGGAGAACTGTATTTTGCCAGAACTCGAGCCAGTGCCAGTTTTATCGCCGCTTGTGCCGAGCAGTCCCGATCATATTCCCACGAGGTAGCAGATACATTTGATTTGCAATTGCATTTTTCAAACTTCTTTTCTCTTTTCAAAGAGAAGAGAGAAAAAACATAATTATCATCTGTCACTCTCATCGTATTTGCATCCTTTGTTATTCACATTCACAACAAATCAGTAAACAAATGCGATCAAAGAATTGAACCAACTTGAAAAGAAAAACACGAACGCCTGTTAGAGATGAACAGAAACCGAATTTCATGATTCACCTGTTTCATGAACAAATTAACTTAGTAGTGAAGTGTTACAAAAAAGCAGATGAGTCCAAAATATATTCGGAGACTATTTTACCATGATATTGAGGAAATGAGGTTTTAAAGGAAATTGGAAAAATTTTATGAACTTCGTAACTGTCTTTTAAAATAGGGCATTACTAAAATGAATGGACTATTGAGTTAATTCGTCACTTACATAAAAAGCTAGTCATTATAGCAAAAAATATCGAGAGATCTTCTTTCCGCTAAACATACTACAATTTTCATAGATACTCGTCTAGAATTTTGGACACATCTTCTTCGACTCTTCACTAGATGAATCGAATTTATTCATTCAGTTCATGTCAAACGAGGGAAGTTACTGAGCTGCCCTACTGCATAAAAGTCTGTGCTAACTTTTTGTATCGAAAAGAATACAGTATCGAGGGCAATGATTTTTGAAAAGTTTTTTTGTCTGAGGTCTACAAGTTTCAATGAAAACTCCTGAAAACGTCCTTTCAATGGAATAAATGCGTTTATGGAATCTCTTTGCGAAGAGATTGGATCAAGTGGGCCTAAAAATTGCAGCATTGCCTCACTGAATTTTATTTTAACCATTATCGATGAAGATTTCAAGTCAACACCAATGCATATCCTTAGGAAAAAAAACGAATTTGAAATGGAAAATTGAATCTCGTCTTAGTTTATAGCTGAGTAAATATAGACAGATGAAGTTTTGGTACTGTAATGAGTAGTATTAATCGATTAATTTCGATTGATTTTCTGAAGGGTTTCTTATGAATTAGGATTGAAATAATTTTTTTCACGTGGTTTCTGTACGAAAATTTAGTGGTACTAATTAAATGGTGAATCATCGAATTTTTTTTACTTTAATTCGGTGAATATGGAAAGTCGAGCAATAGCTTACGATATTTCTACTATCTAATAGCGCAAGAATAGAGTATTGAATGCGTGAATAGGGGAAGATTTGATAACTCACAAATTAAACGATAAGTGTGCATATGATCTCTGATTTGCTCAATGAAGAAGGCCGATAATGATAATTTTTTGAACACTATTGAGTTAATTCAGTAGTGAAGGGTAAAATAAGATGCCACTGGCATGAATTTACAAATAATTTTGCCAATATCTTCGAAAGGAGGAGGGGGGGGGAGCTGAAGAACTTTTTCTTCTTGATAATTTTTTAAACTGGAAAAAATATCTCTCGATATATTATTCCTCTCGAAACGTCAAAAATGATCTGTATAGCATTGTTGGATCCTTTTACTAATGTGCTACAGAGTTAGTTCCTCATTAATTTTCCGTTGATGATTGAAAAATGTTGAGTCTTTAGTGGAAGCTCTCAAGAGCTCCTCCAAGTCCGTAAAAAAATAAATCGATGATTCTTAAATGAAAAATAAAAATTACAAAAAATGCGAATTCAAACATATAGTTTTTTACTTTGTAATAAAGGATTGAAAAAATATTAATAATATGAATCATTGCATGGCTTGTAGGACGTTCTTTTCGGTGAATAATTTTATTATAATTTATTATAGGTATTATAATTTTATTATACTATTACTGTAAATTATTTGGTGCTAATAAAAAAAGAATCAGTTTTCATGGAGTATAAAAATGAATTGACGCCTCCAATTCCGTTATTAAAAATCCTCGTCCGAGTGCTCATTTTTACCCACGTCACGTTTCTCACCACTCTTCAAATCGAATCCAGCTATTTCACGAGGGTTCACTGGATTTAAAATTTCATCCTCGAGGTCATCGTCGTCATCATCGAGGTCGTCACCATCGATTAGTAAATCGCTGTCACTATCGAGAGAGCCGACACTGTCAATTGTTTCTTTGACTGCTCCACGTGGACGACCAGACATTGAACCGTAGATTTTTCGTTGGGGTATTGGAACCCTGGAGGAAGCTCTTCCAGTTGTTTCTGAAAAGAAATTTTAGTTTTTTTTTAGAGGAAAGATGAATAAAATAACGAAATTGATCAAATGTAAATTTTTGTTCATTACCCTCGTCTTACAAATGAGGTATTTCTATGAAAAATATTAAAACGCTTATACCATCAATGTGTCAGTTATTGCTGGTGAGCAAGTAATTTTGGAAAAATGTTACTTAGACATTTACCGAAAAATTAAAAACTAGAGAATTTCACATTTTCCTTTAAGAGTGAAATGTATCGCAAATGGATAATTAAAAATATTTTCCATTTAATTACAGAGAGTGCAAGATCATGTGCCAATTTCTGTCAATCGTATTTGAGAAGGATTTAATCTGTGAGCATCTTTGACTCAATATTTTTAGGATTATAAAATAGCACTAAATTGCCATCTACTTGGAATTCTACGGATGATATAATGTTATTCCGATCCTCATTTTTCCTTCATATTACTAATCACTGTCCTAAAAGTTAGTAGTCAACTGTCCATGAAATTTCATTTTTTTTCTAACAGTGTATATTAAGAATTGTTGAATGAACTTGCTAATGTATGACTCCACGTAGTCATCAGCAAACTTTTTTTCCAATAAATAAATTTCTAATGAAAAATCAAGTACCAGGTTGAACGGTACGACTGAGTTGTCCAGTATTGTCAATGCCTCTCTTTTCCGTCTCCTCTAACGGCCCTCCTAAATTCGTAGGAATAATCGAATCATTACTCTCCATCATACTTTCAAAGCTTGCGTCCTCCCCTCGCAACTGCTCCAACTGTCTTTTAGTCGCTGCTTGTCGCTTTTCAAATCTTTCTTGTTCAATCTTCGTGGCGTCCTCGTACAAATGCTCCAAATACGATAGATACCTGCATTTCTGAATATAATCATCATACACAACACGTAATTCAACCTCGAGCTTTTCGAATTCCTCCATAAAAGCAGGACGGACTTTTCGCAGTGATTGTAGTCGTGTCTGGTTTCGTTCCAACTCTGTTTTTCTTCGATTAATCCGCCCCTCCAAATTTTTTTCTGTCTCCTAGAATTTTCAAATTTGATTCATTCCGTCTTATTACTAGTCTTGCTCCTATGTCATTAACATTTCATTTGTTGCGCTATGAGCGCCGTACCGCACCTTTTGTAATGTACAAAATTTTCCTGCAAAAATTCGAAAGAAATTTTCTACAATTCAATATTGTAATTTTTATTGTGAAATACCGTGGGTCGCCCCCGTGAGTAGGGAAACCCGCAGAGTTTTCGGAAAAACTATTCAACTTTAAAGAGGCATAACTAATCACCGATAATATTTGCAGCTAACATTCTGGCAGAATTTCATTAACGATACCTCGAAGTTGATTGCGCAATTTTTTGATATTCTTACCATGAACAGTGTCACCAGATCGTGACGTCACCCCATTTAAAATTGTACAGATTTTGGCTATAAATCGCCAAAATCTGGCAACTCTGACCATGAACGATTATGTAAGTTTTTCCTATGCGGGACTGCGCTCACGGTGCAACCTACGGAGGCTTAATTGTCCAAACAAGAGCAGTAATGCCTTTGAGAACGATTTCGAGAAGAGCAAAAATATCCGTCTCTCTTTCTTGTACGGTCGAAGGAAATCGGAACTTTGAAAATCAATCGGAAATGGGGATCAATTTCAACAGATGCTTAAATAAATAAATATTTGTTAGCGTAATTATGATGAAATAAAAATGAGAAGATATGGAAAAAATCATAGGGGTCATTTCTGCTATTGTCAAATAACAGAAATTCGATGCAGTTGTAATTCAGAAATAATTTTTTCCTGAGATGGAAGGAAATACACTGAGAAAATTTTTTTTTTGCCAAATATTGATTTACTCGAGAGAAGCATTTGTTTTATCAAAATCGTATTTCTCCTATCGAGTCATTCCTAGGCAAGCCTGATTAGGTTTCAATTATGACAATCATGTTGCTCTAGAGGATGGCTATGTTGTACATGACCTGGGATGAACTCGTTCAATGATTATTAATTTTTTCAAAAATTTAGTATTTTCTATAGGAAAAAATTTCGATTAATTTTTGAATGTTTATAATCACTGAGGAAGTTCACCCAAGGTCATAACTAACATGATCATCTTCTAGAACAATATAATTGTCTCAATTGAAACCTAATGAGGATTGCCTGGAAATGATTTGGCTGCAGAAATACTGTATTGAAAAAATAAATACTTCTCTCAAGTACATGGATATTTGAAATCTCTTCTCCGCAATTACTCTATAAAAATTTCATCGTTTTGTAATAAATTTCATTACCTTAACATTTTCGATTTGATTTCTTGTCTCCTCGATCTCCTTTTTCGCATTTTCTATAACTTCTCTCATGGCAAGTTCAATTTCCGCAGTATCGAACTGCCTGGCAACCTTTAAATTCCTAATTTCCCGCAACTGCACTTCTCGCCCGAGTAAGTCGAATAGACTGGCACCATTAACGGTTAATTGACTAGCTAATTGTCTTGTATTTTTCAGCTCGTTTAATCGATCACTGATATCGATTTTCACTTGGTGTTTATTATCAGATGATAAGATTTCTTCCTCAGCACTATTACTCTGGGCTCCATACAATAATGTAGCTACTTTCAAGAGTTCGTGCACAGCGTAACCGTCAGCTTGGTACAGTTTTTTTGTGTTGAGTTTAATATTTGTTTTTATTGCCTAGGGAATAAATTTGTGAAAAATTATGCAGAAAGATTCGAAGTGGTGAAACGAGACGGAAAGGGAGAGAAACCAAACCATAATCCAGACATCGTACAGCTTTCATTATTACTTTCGGATGGAAGTTTTGTAATCATTGAAATTTAAGTTGTGAAATTTTGGTGTTATCTCGACCCAGTATGATCCCAAAAATCCGGAAATACAATTTTTAGACTTCGTCCGTATGTGTGCATGTGTGTACGTATGTAACAAACTTTTTCTTTAATTGTTCGCTAATGAATGCATGGAATTGATTTTTTTTAATGCTGGAATTATTGAGCCCTATCAATTACCATTAATTAGAATTTAATTCATTAACTAGTTTTTTAATTCGTGATTTTTTTCGAAAATTCGTTGTCCCACGATAACTATAAAAAATATTCTGAATTGGATGTCTTTTTGATTGAGTTCGAAGCTTAAGGCGATCGCAATAATCGTTATTTTGACTTATTTGAAAATTTGCAAAAAAAAATGTTTTTTTTTTTTGAAAATCAGAATTCTTTGGGTATCTTTAATATATTGGCTACAGTGGTTGTTTGATTTTTATCATGATTGTTGAAAATCTTGAAATTTTCACAAATTTTCCTGAAAATGACCTTTCTGATGGTTTCTTCAAATGTGATGTTTCAAATTCATTCAAGTAAGTATAAATAAAAATTTTCTATTAGCAATGAATTATGGATGATAGAAGAAAATGATGTGCAAAGTAACCATTTGGAAGCATATTGCTAATTTATAACTATATGCAATACAAGAGCCAACTCCCACTTTTTTTCGATTGCAGACTGTAAATGTGTCAAAATATAAAAAAGGAAGGAACAAACAGTCGTAGGAAGATTTCCCAGTATTCCTCATCGTTAACTAAAAACTGGAATTACAGTATTCTTTGCAGAATTGTCCTTGTGTCAGGATATTGAATGGATTGTGTTCACTTTTACGTCATCAAAACATGGGTTTTCTTATTTCCGGCAGCGTGACTTCTGAGTAAGCCACAAAAAATCATGATTTCAATTTTTTTACAAAAATTTCCGTGCGGTCCAACCATTAACCTTTTTTAAAAACAGGTATTTTATTGGGTTTTGTTTAAAAAGAGATGAGTGCAAACTGAAAAAAATAGAATGAACCAGCTCGTGACGTTTCACTACTTCAGTACTGAATTCGATAAAATATCATTTCAGGATCATACCATAAATTCAGCAGCACGACGAATAATCGCTACCCTATCCTCTTCAGTATGATGGTCAATAGGAATATCAGTATCTGGATCAAATCTTCGTACAAGCCAGACTAATATTTCCGCAACTAATGGAAAATTCGGTACTCGGAAATTGGACAGAGAAATTAATCTAGGATACCCGAGGAATCTCATAATTTCTGTAAAATCTAAAAAACATCACAATTTCATAAAAATCAATTGAGCCGCAAAGTAGTGAAACCAGGCAGAAAAAAAAGATTTTTGATACCCTATTATAAATCAAATTATCTCGGTGATGAGTCAATTCCCGCGAAAATGTCAAACAATTCTTGGCAGCAGAATAAATTTTCAGCAATGACTTCGACTTATATTCCTAAAATTGCTCATCTGCGAGATACATACATCACCTACACTATATACTATAATTCTTCACTATCCTCAATAAATAAATGAAAACTTACTTCTTAAATCCCGAAACGACATAATTATTTCTTCTATTAATAATTCTCCTTATTTCTCGTCTTTACCGTAGTTCCAATGATGAGTTTATGGAAGAATGAGTGTACTGCGGAACAAACCACGTTGTTGTGTTCCGAACGTCTCCAAGCAACGGAAACCCTAACTCAACCCGCATGATGACAATGGAATCGACAGTGAAGTAATAAATCGAGTTCTCTGCATTCTGTTGAATATGTATGAAATTATTCTGATTATAAATGTTTTAAGAAGAAAACGAAATTCAATGAATTCTTTTCATTTGAAACTTTATCAGCCGCTCTTCGCACCAACCATGATGGTAATTGTATAATCAATGGAAATGCATATTGGACTCATCCCCATTGTAATTGACCGTTGCACAACGGAATTCATTCATAACTGAAAATTACTTTTTATGCCAAATGGAGCGTATTCGTGTGTGTAATCGTTAACTTACAACTATTTATCCTGGTTACAGCTCTAAGGCTCGAACCCATACAACTTTGATAGATACGAGTGTGATATCGAATGGCGTTGTTTACTATATACAGAAATGAATGAGTAAAAACATTCAATTGTTCTGCCACTGTAAGAATTTCATGGATTTATTTATTCTGATTATTAAATTATATACATGTATGACGAACTGGGAGTTATTTTCTTAATCTTCTAATCTTCGACTTTGTTTTATCAACGATCGAGACCGTTTTACAAATAATCGTTCTCTAGCTGCCTTCATCTGTGCCTTACGGATTTTTTCTTGGGTCTGTGGTGATATCTCTGGGGCTACTATTAGAGTTTTTCTTATCATCACTCTGAGACGTTCGAGAGCATCTGCAAGATTCATTTGTTGGGATCTCGTCAGGTCTGATTTTATGACGAGAAAGCCTTCTTTATTGATCCTATTTTTCTCCTGCAAAGATAAATAATTGAGTCATTCATTTTAATAAATTGACAATAATGGATGGTTTGAGTAACTGTCCAGAGATTTTACAATTAAATAAAATGCATATCAAAATCTTGTTAAGATGATTTTGTAAATAATTCAAGAAATAATAGGTTCAAATTTATCAAAATGTCATAATATTCTCCAGACAACGATTTATGATAAATTTCTGCAGATGAAAGCACAAAGAAGGTTAACATGAAGTTACAACATTGAAAGAGGAATTCCCCATAAATCACGTGAGAATACAGATCGATAAACAATTTTCGATAATCATACGTAAAATTTTTCATTTCTTTTTCTTTAAATTAATTAGCACCAATGATCTGAAAATGTCAACGAATATGAAGATTTTACATCCCTTTGATCTCATTTCAATGGAACCGAAGCAAATTGCAAAGAGAGATCGATCATCATCAATCAGTATCAATAAAATTAAAAAATCTATTTTTCTATGTCTTTTCGAAATTTTTCAAATTATTTTTTTCTTAAAAAATGAAGGGAGATTAACATTTCTAATTTCTGTGATCGTATTCTGCCCGCAGAAACAGGAAATACGGGAAATGTAGGGAAGGAAAGTGAGAAATAAATTTTAAAAATCAATTTTTCAATCTTGAAAATTTCAAAACGTTTTTTTTTACTAATGAAGAAAAACTAATGCATTTTCTTTCTATTGTCTAATTCTGATGAAAGAAAGAAAAGAGGAAGAGAAACGAGATCAACACGAAAACAGAATTTTTAATTTTTCAATGTCTGCGGAAAATTTTTAAATTGATATGTTTTTTTCGAATAATGAACCAATATCCATAAATTCAATTCCTATCCTCACTTTTTCATAGAATACGAAAAAAAAGAGCGAAGCATTCAAATCGGCGATGAAATGTAATGAAGTATTTTGAATAGAATAGACGAACCTGTACCAATAATTTTTCCCTAATATCTTGAGAGATCCAATCAGCACTCTTAACTTCGAATCTTAGATCGACTTTGGTGTTGACAGTGTTAACGTGTTGTCCTCCAGGACCACTGCTACGGGAGTAGGTAACTGTCAATTTATCCATAGGTATGAAACCAGTAAATTCGACTTTTGGATGCTCATTCTTCTGCAAATAAATCCCACGAAACATTTTTTAATCCAGAAATCCTTCTCTCTTTATGTTTCTGTCAATGAAAAATGATTGGACAATTTCATGTTCATGGCAGAAAGGCATGAAGGAGATGACATACTCACAAATTCTGGGTGGTAAAGCTTAACATTACTCTTTGGATACAAATTTTCGAGTGCAAAAGCACTTTTGAAGGAATATTCCCTTTGCGAAATATTAAATCCACGAGTGGTAATGTCCCTTCTCAAAATATGAAAAATTCTACCCAGAATATTCATGATGGAGTAACTTTTTTTGATTATTCAATTATCAATTGTAAGAATATCAGGAGCTGGACTAAATATTTCTCGCTATTTTAGAACCTTGACGATTGAATACTTCAAACCAGCAGAGGACCTAGGCTGTGCCTATAACATCCAATAACCTCAACATCTCAATGTGAACATAACCTTGTAGAGCGTAGTTTAATTGGCGCTAGAAACGGTTCTCGAGGTACTTTGATAGGTCACTATAGTTGAGAAATTAAATCATTTTCATAAATTTCCTTTGATTTTATATTCGTTCTGATTGAAAAATTATTTGACATCGATTGAAGCATTCGTTGTAAAAATAAAAACTAAATTGTCATTGATTATCAAGGTTTGGTTATGTTAATTCTGTTACAACTTTTGGCTAAATTTTCAGAAATTACAACTAATNAAATGTAGGGAAGGAAAGTGAGAAATAAATTTTAAAAATCAATTTTTCAATCTTGAAAATTTCAAAACGTTTTTTTTTACTAATGAAGAAAAACTAATGCATTTTCTTTCTATTGTCTAATTCTGATGAAAGAAAGAAAAGAGGAAGAGAAACGAGATCAACACGAAAACAGAATTTTTAATTTTTCAATGTCTGCGGAAAATTTTTAAATTGATATGTTTTTTTCGAATAATGAACCAATATCCATAAATTCAATTCCTATCCTCACTTTTTCATAGAATACGAAAAAAAAGAGCGAAGCATTCAAATCGGCGATGAAATGTAATGAAGTATTTTGAATAGAATAGACGAACCTGTACCAATAATTTTTCCCTAATATCTTGAGAGATCCAATCAGCACTCTTAACTTCGAATCTTAGATCGACTTTGGTGTTGACAGTGTTAACGTGTTGTCCTCCAGGACCACTGCTACGGGAGTAGGTAACTGTCAATTTATCCATAGGTATGAAACCAGTAAATTCGACTTTTGGATGCTCATTCTTCTGCAAATAAATCCCACGAAACATTTTTTAATCCAGAAATCCTTCTCTCTTTATGTTTCTGTCAATGAAAAATGATTGGACAATTTCATGTTCATGGCAGAAAGGCATGAAGGAGATGACATACTCACAAATTCTGGGTGGTAAAGCTTAACATTACTCTTTGGATACAAATTTTCGAGTGCAAAAGCACTTTTGAAGGAATATTCCCTTTGCGAAATATTAAATCCACGAGTGGTAATGTCCCTTCTCAAAATATGAAAAATTCTACCCAGAATATTCATGATGGAGTAACTTTTTTTGATTATTCAATTATCAATTGTAAGAATATCAGGAGCTGGACTAAATATTTCTCGCTATTTTAGAACCTTGACGATTGAATACTTCAAACCAGCAGAGGACCTAGGCTGTGCCTATAACATCCAATAACCTCAACATCTCAATGTGAACATAACCTTGTAGAGCGTAGTTTAATTGGCGCTAGAAACGGTTCTCGAGGTACTTTGATAGGTCACTATAGTTGAGAAATTAAATCATTTTCATAAATTTCCTTTGATTTTATATTCGTTCTGATTGAAAAATTATTTGACATCGATTGAAGCATTCGTTGTAAAAATAAAAACTAAATTGTCATTGATTATCAAGGTTTGGTTATGTTAATTCTGTTACAACTTTTGGCTAAATTTTCAGAAATTACAACTAATTTTAGATTCAACTGTGCAGATTGCTAGAAAAATCAATTTATAATTTTTCGGCATTGTGATGAAAAAAGATGTCAGCAGAATCAGGAGATAATGAGGGAAAACAATGGACAGAGGCTGAGCGCCTGGAGCTAGCAGCGAAGCTGGATGCTGAATTAGATGAATACATAAGTAATTTGGAGAAGAAATCATATGATGAGGGTTGGCCAGAGGATCGATGGCAAGAAGAAATGGAGAAACATCCATTTTTCATGAAGAAGCCCCCTGAACCTGGCGATGAGATCTCACCGTTGATGGAAGGGCTCCAGCAGCTCAAGTATGGCGAGGATGAAAATACACCTGAAGGTTCGATTCTTTAATTCTACCAAATAAGTACGATAGTGAAGTGGTAATACCAGAATAAGGGAAGAATACAAATTTACGGATAGTAGTTGATTTTGCAAATATGGGCCACAGGAAAGTTGAGGGAGTTGAAGAAATTGGACAATAAACTTTTTTCCTATACCGACATTTTTGTGCAATATTAAAAATACATTTTGAATTTTGTTTTAACATCACCATTACTGAGATAATTAATTATGAACGAGTTGTAAAATCACTGAAGCCCAATATTGAGTTAATTGAATAATTCCGTCGCATGTAAGTAGTGGAAGGTCCAAATAACAGGATATTTGCAGCAGTTCATGGTGTTCTTAACAAAATGAGTATTTTGCCTTTTTTGCTTCCGAACGGAAACATAGTAATCGTTCAAATTTAAGTTTTGGATTTTTTGTGTTAAATCGACCAATGGTCCAAAAAGTCTGAAAGTGCAATTTTTAGACCATGTATGTACGTATCTGTGTACGTATGGATGACGTGGTAAAGTTTTTCTTCAATTTTTCCCTAATGAATGGATGGAATTGATTTTTTTTTTTTTCAAATGTAGCCATTATTGAGTCCTATCGATCGCCATTATATAAAATTTAATTCATCGATTAGTTTTAACATTTTTTCAATTTTTTCGAAAATTGGATGTTCACGATAACAAAAAAAATGTTCTGAAGTGATTGAATGATGAATTAAAAAAATTGTTTGGATGCCCCTCTAACGAAGTTCGAAGATGAAGGCGATAGCAGTAATCGATATTTTGATTTATTCGAAAATTTTCAAAAATTTTGAATATTTTGAAAATCAGAATTCCGGAAATATGTTTGAATATCATGCTTCAAATGATTTCAATCCTAGCTTAAAATGTTTGTTTTAATCTCATTAAGTCAAAGTTAAAAGATGATTACGATAGCTATATTGGTTGATTTGATTTCTACGATGATGAAAATTTCGAATTTTTCATCAATTTCCCTGAAAGTGAGCTTTTTGATGATTTCTTCAAATGTGATGTTTGAAATTCATTCAATTATGTATGAATAACATTTTTCTAATAACATTTTATTGAAGGGCTGAGGGGAGAGATAGAACTGTGAAAAAAACAATTGGTTGTATAGAAAAAAGGAATAATAAGAATAATGATGATGATAACTTTGAACTAAGTTGAAAATCTGACAAAATTAATTGAAAAGAAATTTTCTTCAATTTAATAAAATGAAATAAACAATGAATGATACATGATAGAAGGTAATAAAGTGCAAAATAACCATTCGGAAGCATATTGCTAATTTATTAGTAGAAACAACTCTACTATATACAATACAAGAGCAATTTCCCACTTGTTTTCTGAACATACAAGATTGAAAGCTGTGTGAAAATCACAATGACTCGTGATTTCCTCCTCTTCTCCTGATGGAATATTTTTTGACTCCTTACTATAATTATTCTCTGATTTTATCAACAGAATTAGCAGCTAATTACAAAGAAGATGGAAACTTCAATTATAAACACAAAAATTACCGTCTGGCAATTCTAAGTTACACAGAAGGAATAAAAACTAAATGTAAAGACGGTCTCAGAGCTCAGTTGTACAATAATCGAGCAGCTTCCCACTTCATGCTGAAGAACTATCGATCTTGTTTGAATGATTGCAAAATGGCATTGAAGCTCCAGGCGAACTATCCTAAAGCTCTGAGTAGAGCAGCGATGTGCTGCTATCTTACGAAAAACTTTGATGACTGCATTGAACTGTGTAATATTTATATCGCTGAGCATGAGTCCAATAGTGAAATCTCTAAAATGCTTAAAAACGCAAATCTGGAAAAGGTAAATACTAACAAAAGTATCAATCAGTTTTTTCAAGTTTGTTTAAGGCCCGTGTTGATTATCCTCTGAACGTTATCTCGATTGTTTTTCCAACTTCATAATCTAAAATATATAACAATTTCCATTGGATTTTACAATAAAAAAAAGTAGAAATAAACTGAACATTTTCAAAGAGCTTAGTTTTGAGGCTTTCGCGGCCATTATTAATGACTTGGTTGGCTTCCGGATGGATGCCGCGTTGAGTTTCAGCATTGCGCCGACGTTTCGCAAACATTGCAGTCTGCATCTTCAGGGCTATGAGCTCCGATTCTCAGCTCCGATGTGTGGGGGCAGTCCTTATATACCTTCCCTTGTGGTGGTGGGAGAAGGGGAAGGGGGGGGGTCAGCCAATCATATGTTTTTAATTGATCAGCTGGTCAATTAAATAGTGAGAGGAAATAGTGAATGGATAATTTATCATGGTAACTAAGGATTTGACAGCCATGACTACTGTGACAAATGACGACCTAACAGACATTACATACATTAAATTATTAATTTGCAATTTCCTCCCTATTTTGTTTATTGCCCAATATTATTCAAAAACTCTCTTTGAAAATATTCAGCTTTTTTTCAACGTTTTTTTGATTGAAACGATCATAATTTCTGAAGACTCCATGGCTATGTAAAACTGAATAGCAATTGGAGATCATTTCAGATTATCAAAATAAAAAAAAACAACCAAGATCACGTTCGAAAGATAATCCACCCGGACCTTAATTGCAATTCTTAAGTTTTCAGTTTTATGAGAGGCATTCCGGTCATTTTGTCGTGTACCACACACAACGTGTGTTACTAGCCATCGGCTATTTTTTCGTACATTCGTATAAACATACTTTAGAGTCATCTCTGCAATTAACCCGTCGTTAGGCACGTGTGAGATTTTCTCTCACGCAACGCTCAAGCGCGCCTACTGACGGTTAATAGGCCTTGAAGCCAATGTAATTTTTTACAAAAGGTCTCTTGAGACTGGGGCACATCAGGGAGGCTTATGGGGTGGTTTTTTGAACCCGTCTTTATTACTCTATGTCTCTATTACTGTGCAACGATTCGGAATTGATTGGAAGTTTTCTTTGCATAATGTCAATAGAAAAAACTGCAGAGGGAAATAAGATTGAGGGAAATGAAGGAGAAAAAAGAAGAGAAGGAGGAAAACAGATTGATGGAGGCGATTGAGCAGAGGACTATCAACATAGATCTGTCAAATGGCAATAAATCGTATGAGTTGAAGGATTTGGAGCCTCAGATTCCCCAATTAGCTCAGCATAGAGTGAGGCTGGATAAAGAAGAAGGATTGATCTGGCCTGTTATGATCCTTTATCCAGAAACTATGCAGACAGATTTCATTCAGAATTTCCACGAAGATACACCGTAAGTATTTTCGGACAATTTATTATTCACGTATACATTATGTCTCAGATATCTCCTCGAGAATAAATCAAACAAATTCTTGTACAGTCTTTGAAATTTTCTACTAAAAGGTCTTCTGACAACCGTTATTCTACCTCTTTTTTTATTTGTCTCCATTCATTTTTTTTATTATAGAAATAAATTCCTGAGGAATGCTATTAATTCATTTTTTACCTTGTGTTTGCTATTTAGATTCATGGATCAATTGGAAGAACTTTTTGAAGTTCCACCTCCTTGGGATATGGGGCATCGTTATATCGTTCCTAATTTGAATGTTTATTTCGAAGGAATTAATAAAGCATCTGTACATAAAGTTGATATCAGTCGAACGCTGGGGACAATCATTCAACAAAAACAGTGAGTTCCCTATCATATACCATGATTAGGATTAGTATAATCAATCAGAATTATTGATTATATAGTCCGACAAAATTGCGACCTTGGCTCTCCTAGAGATGAAATTACCCGCATAGAAAGATTAAATTCCGCTGATTTTGAATCCATTAACAGAATCCCTTTAAGCCTTCTAGTTTTGAAAAAAAAATGTTAATGTTCCCAAAATCACCGAAAACCGTTAAATTCAAAATTCAATAAAAAAATAACGCATCAATTGGACTGAAATAAAATTCGAAAAAATGAGGGAATCGAGATTTATGAATAGACAGAGTTTTTTGTGATTGACGTATGGAATAATTCTCCATAAATTCAGTAATTAGGCATTAAAAATTACATTCAACCCTCAAAAAAGAATCATGGATGGAAGGCCTGACGTTGCATCACCATATGTGATTCCCAATGGCAAATTTTGAGGGTTATTCACTCTGTTTACTGTAGTGCGATTCCGAGATGATCAATTTAAATAGGCATCCTATTGTGTAAGTGTTTGCGGTTCTAGAGGAAATGAGACATCTTGTTGCCCTTGTTAAGGCTGAGTCAGTCCTGTGGGAAAACGGTTTATCCAGGTAATGCAACCAGAATAAACTCATGTGACGAGCAATTGGTGGACAAATGCATTCTCCACGTCCAGATACTAATTTTATGAACATAAAATCAAGCACCAAAAAATTTCATTGAAAAGCCTCGCGATTTTACTAGACAATTCTATTGAGATATTTTCTATAGACTTTCCTCGGGTCAATGTTTCTATTTTTTTGTTTGATTTTCTAGATGAAAAGAAATGAAGAATAGGATGAAAGAAAACTTGGAAAAATTTGAACCGAGGATATTCTATAGAAAATATACCAATTGAATAAGTTGAATAGAAAAATTGAATTCTATTGTCTTTTTCTATTGGATTTCTCCTATTGAACATTTCAATAGAATCAGCCAAAAATGAATAAAAAGTTCAATAGAAATCCAATAGAATTGTTTGGCAAATTCGCTAGGTTTTTCTATGATTTTTTTTCATCCGTGATGAGAATCATATCAATGCATGTGGGGAATGTTGACCACTATTATTTCTAAAAGGGTATTTAAGGTGATGCAAGTTTCATCGCGTTGAGGGATAGCCAACTGGAGGCGAGACATATTATCAATTGCTCCCCACATGAGTTTATTCTGATTGTAATACCTGGGAAACACAGGACAGACTGAGCCTTGACAAGGGCGACAAGATGTCTCATTTCCTCTAGATCCGTAATCGCTTGCACAATAGGTTGCCTAGGTAAATTGATCAGGTGGGAATTGCACCACTGTAAATTGAGTGAATAACCCTCAAAAGTTGACTTTGGGAATCACACGTGGTGATGCAACTTCAGACCTTCCATCCATGATTTTTTTAAGGTTAAATGTAATTTTTAATGCCTAATTACTGAATTTATTGAGAATTATTGCGTGTGTCAATTAAAAAACGTCTCTGTCTATTTATAAATCTCGATTCCCTCATTTTGGGTGAATGTTTAGATCCGATCAATTAGCCCCTCATATATAGATATTCCAAATTTTTATTTTTTTCCTCATTAAAGTAGTTTTGAAGAAAATTGCGAGCTAATAAAAAACATTTGCTAGTTAGTACTTTTTTTTAAATAAATTTTTGAAAAATCAAGCAAATTGTTTGAAGATTTTTGCGAGTTAAGAAAAAATCGTCAATGCACTCCTTTTATTGTGTAAATTAACAATTCCAATTTCAACTGAAAACCAGAGTTGATGACCAGAGTTTGTAGCAGAGATGTCAGACAAGATGTGAATGTTTTTTTGGGCTCAAATGAAAGAGCGGGTCGAGAAATGGCGTACTAGGGCCTCTAAACTAGACAAATGTCTAAAGATGATGTCTGTTTTCAATTGAAAAGCAAAGTTGTGGCATCATTGTCTAGGAGGACAATGGGGTCTAGGAGTATGTATAGAACATTGGGGTCTAGGAGTCTCCCCTGGTTCAAAACCATCTTTATCCGGTTTCAGACATGAGTGGCATAAAATTAATTTAATTCATTTTGTATAAGGCCTAGGAAGTGGAAAAACGCAATTCTGAGCCGTCCACTTGTCTATAGGGGACCCAAATTTGGTTTTAAGGCTCTATCTACCTGATGCTTAAGCAGACAACTGACGTAATGGTTCATCAATGCCAGATGAACAGAAGGATCACAGGGATTAAACGATCATAATGGTCCAACGGGATGAAGTACCAAAAAGATTTGAAGTTCTCAGATCGATGTTGCGCGTATCTTCCAATTGACCTTTATCACTGTTTGAACCTCATGATTATTCTTATTGTCTTTCTCCTGTTTGAATGTCATGATTTTCTGATCCTTACGACCCATCGAGGAAAGCAAACTTTTTGGGGTTTTAAAACGTCCAAAAAACATATAATTGGGCAATTAATATTTCTTTCAAATTTTTTCATGAGAAAAACTCGTAAAAAAAGTTATCATTTTTCTTCTCTAAATGGAGAGACAAAAAAATACTATATCTTATATTTACGTGATAAATGGTTGGGGCCATCTTCCGGCAAATGCAAAATCATTAGGTTTGAAGTCTCACAAGTTCATCAGGGATGCCTTAATAATTATCAAAATTGTAAAATATGGTATTTTTTGATAGATTCGTTCTGAGGGATGGAACCCCGTCATTTCTCGTGCTGATAGCCTCCAGTGACGCTGAGAAACGATTTTTGGATAACTACAAAGTATCAAGAAGCTTATGAACATTACCTTGCACAATGAAAAATAAATGAAACAACTGCATATTCCGACTACCAATTATGGTATGCAAATTTATGCCTTATGTTATTCAATCGTCTAATCACCCACAAATCTTCATTTCAAATGGATGATTCATAATGACATATCTCGATGTCCCCATAATTAATACGATTATCAAAGCGGATTTAAGTATCTTTTCTCATTGAGTCCGTGAAGCCCGGTTATACGGACGCTTTGTGTTCGAAAAATACCACTCATGGACGTCGGGACAAAAAATATCGTTCAATACTCGGCCGCGAAGAACTTTTTCACCGCATATGATCCTGTCTTCGGGTCATTTTGTCATCTCATATTCGCCAAAAAAGTTCTTCACGACCTAGTATTGAAATGTAATTTTTGGAAGTACTGTTGAGAATAAAAAAAAGTTGATAAAAAAACATTAATGTTAATTGGTATTATTAAGTTTTTTTTTTTTTTTTTTTTTATATTCCGGCCCTTTCTGCCTTCTGATTGGCTAATCGGCCCTATCCAACCCTATGCATGCGGCTGTGGATTCTACACTGCACCGCATTCGCACTCCTATAGAACATAGGAGTAGCATGGGAAACCACAGAAAACCCATGCCGGTACAGGCGGTCACTATATTAGCGACCTCCCGCTCGCCGGAGCCTCCGGTTGAAAAACTCGGTTCCACGGGGAATCGAACTCACAACCTTTCGCACACTAGGCTCGCACCTAGCCGCTTCGGCCACCGACGTCGGTTATATTAAGTTTGTTTTAGTAAATTTTTATTTCGCTTGAATTGCGTCAAACAATCATTTTTGGCCGTTTTATTTGGGCCCACGTTTCATTTTGCCCCACTCTCTCCGAGATACAGAAAAAATGTCTGACTACTCACAACCATGCAAAAGAAAGAGAAAGAGAGTGACAAGTTTATCAAATATCAATTTTCGAAAATTTATTATAGGGAAAATTTATTTAGGTTCGAAGTTTCGAAGATTTCAATTAATAATCCAATTATTTTGAATCAATCCGTTATTTAATCCAACTAAAGTCGACCCCCATCATAAATTCATTATTCTAATGCATATTGAAACAATAACAAACGATTCAATTACTCCAACGGCGAATATAAATTAATGCATAACATTTATTGGTATTTTAAATTCCAACGTTGCGTGAAAAATTCCTCTTCCTACTGTACGATCGGAAGGATAATTTGCCATTAATGCTCGAATTAATTAACCCACTCTCTCGTATCATTTTCTCAGTAATGATTTTCCCTGTATTGATTTTCATTCCAATGGAAGCTCATCAATTTGATTTTCGTGAAAACTGGTGAAAATTAGAGGTGATTGCGTGACGTATACATTTGATAGTCAGTCGTATGTTCCGACTGTAACCCTCATTCGCTCTATTTCATTTCAATCAACTGATGTAAGTGGATTAACTGCCTGGTCAGCTCTATATCATTCGGCATTGGATGTAGCAGTTTCAAAGGTACTGAACCTGTCCATTTTTTTATCACAATGACAAAAGACATGACATGGGGTATTGTAATATCCATTTCATACAAATATGTTATTTTCAATCTAATCTCTGCGAACTTTGTTGATCCCGCCTAACGATTTCAATCATTTTTTTTTCTTTCAAATTGTGAAATTGAAAAGTCTTACACAAAAGAATTGATTAGCTTTGGAAACTAGTTTCTAAATTTTAGAAACTCCTATTTTTAAGTTTTATCCTTGGTGGGATTATAAAAACTCATGAATTTGGGTATTGTTTTAAAGAACAAATATTTTCTGAAACCAATGTTCAATTTTTCTTCATTTTAGACATTTTTCAGAATGACCTAAAAAATTGCCGCCGAGGTATTTAAAGAACGTAAGTCCCCCATACATTGAGAATGAGGAGGGGGGTTTCATACATGGGAATTTTTTAATAAGGGGCTTAATTTATTGGGAGACGTTTATATGGGTGATTTTATTTATCGGAGGGGAGCTCGTGTATTGGGTGTTCATATATGGGGGGGAGGGGGTGTTGTACATGGCACTATTGTAGTGAATTGTCGCCGTACAGTCCCCCCTCCCCCCTCCCGTAATCTATTTAGCTCGTTGGTGAATTTTGCGGATATCTCCGAAACCAAGGGAGAAACTTGGAAAGGAGGGGGGTGGGGGGGAGGAAAGGAAAGTTGTATTGAATTCTGGAGGGATAACCCCCCCCCCCCCCCAATTTTTCAAGAAAATTTGCTATCTCCCTTAGTTTCGGAGATATCCTTGAAAAACTCACCGACGAACTAAGTCGGCTCCAGGAGAGGGCCTTGTACTGAATTTTCGATGTATAATTAAAAAAACCACGATTCAATTACTCGATTACTTGATTATGTGGTTTTTTTCGATGTAAAAAAAAAAAAAAGAAAAAAATTCTAAGAGAATTAGAAGTTAGAGAGAAAAAATTTCTGCTTCACCCAGCCGGGAATCGAACCCGGGTCTCCCAGATACGCGCCGGGCACTCTTACCGACTAAGCTACCGGGAACCACAGAAATTCACTCTCAAATTCACCTCAAACAAAATTCACTCTCAAATTCCTCTCTCCCCCCAAAATAGACCCTCTATACAAAAATCCCTCCCCAACCACAACCCACCCTTTCACAAAACACCCCTCTTTACAAAACCTCTCTCTTTGTAAAACCCCCCTCTTTACATCCCCTATATATATCCCCTTTATGTAAAACCCTCTGCCCATTGATAAAACCACCATTCAATGAAATCCCCCCGTATATGAGACCCCCCTGGATATCACTACACTCATGTATAATCCACCCATACATGAAGCCCCTTCTTTGCGAAATCTCCCCTCAAAAATGCAAAAAATTTTCTAGATTTTAGAAAACTGAAGATTAGAAACGACGGTTTCTAAAATTTAGAAACTTCTTTCTAAAATTAATCCACTTTTTTTTCTGTGTTTCGTCGAAGAAGGCTCTCCTCGAATAACTCTTGATACATGATGGAGCATATGAAAATGTTGAAAAAATGTTGAACCCAATCCATTTTCCCCTCTATATTAAGATGAAACGTATTTTCGTGTTTGCACCCTACAAATACTCCTTGGATCACAATTTTTATCTAGTCTAGAATTTCCTTTTTTCGAAATATTTGTTAGACGTCAGAGAATAACCATATAATAATTCTTCATTAGAAAATATTTTGTCATTAGGCCCGATAAACCGCGATCTAACCGAGCGAAGCGAGGTTAGAATCGCGGTTTTTAACGACATAAAATATCGTTTATGTCGCGCCGTGCAATAAGTCGAGTTTATCGCACGCTGCGCTTCGCGCAGCCTGCTCAAAACTCGACTTCTGCACGACTTGACATAAAATATTTTTCGTGAGAAGACCCGGTAAACCGCGATTCTAACCTCGCTTCGCTCGGTTTGATCGCGGTTTACGGGCCCTCTGACGAAAAATTGCATTCATCACACGGTCCAAAAGTATTTTCTGACGAATGTGATTATACAAAGCCACATTCGTCAGAAAATACTTTGTGGACCTTGTGATAAAAATAACTAATAGAGCACTCGGTAATAAATTTCGTTTTCAACGAATGTGTGTACAGACCTCGCCTTCGGCTCGGCCTGTAAACTACACATTCGTTGAAAACGAAATTTGTGCCCTTGTACTCTAATGTACTAATGTTACACGGCGATAAAAGTATTATCTGGCGAATGTGGCTTTATAATCCGAGCCGAAGGCAAGGATTATAATCACATTCGCCATAATGATGACATAATATACTATTCTACACGTACTATTATGATTTGCTCTCAGCAGAAGAAAATTGTGAGAACGAATATAGAATTCGTGATGAATCGGGCGCCTGAAGAAACAAGTGGGTAATTGCACGGAGAGAAATATTCAATAAAAATTACCAGAAAAAAGACGCAAAAATTACATTTAAAAACGTAATCTGGGAGCGAAGTAAAATTCAATAAAAAGTGTCAATCGTCACGTAAATTCTACGATCTGTTCCGTAAAAATTACTCATCCGTCCGACGCCTCACGGCTAGCCATGAGTCACCGTGAGGGGGAGATTTTAACAACACGTTCCGTAATTTTTCGTAAAAATTCTTTAACATCCAAGAATTTTCATGTTCTGAGGCATAATAAGTCTTGAAGTTTCTGTTAGATTTTACAACTTCCAGAAAAATTACGTGACTTTTTCGTATTTTGTCGGTGACAGACCCAATAATTTACTGAACGTTTCAGATTTATTCTCTTATATTCCTATAGAAATTCACTGAAAACGATTTTCGCTTGCGGATTACGTGTAATGTTCCGTAATTTTTCTTGAATATTTCTCTCCGTGTGCTGTCGTCTTTATCTAGTACTAGTATAGCTATTTTTGATAATCAAGTAGCAATCTGCTCTCGAATGGAGTTTGCAAATCATTTTCTCATAGCATATTGTTTCATATCAGTATATTAAATGGAATTATATTAATTCTTTAATCAATTTTTCTTTGATCAGATTTTAACTAATTTATAGTTACCATAGAAAATGACATTGAAAATACTTTTTTGTGATACCTGCCTCAAACGTGCACTTTTCGAAACGGTTTAGTGTGCGTAAAGCGATTGTTTTCCGCTCGGCGTGCGTAATGCACAGAGAAAAAAATTCCAGAATTTTTCAGGAGAAATTCAGGAAAAAATTACCGTGCCATCTGGTAAAGTGGGTTCAATTGTCTAGCACCAGAAAAATTCCGGTGCTGTATAGTAAAAATTCCAGTACCGCACAATAAAAGCTTGATCACTGACTGTTTTCTATTACATGATAAATTACATTCAATAGTTAAAAATGAGTAAACATTGTCATTCAGCATATCATCCTATTAGTTTTATTTTACCCTCTCCTCCATATCCTCTCTCCCATATTGAAAGCGGAATGGGCGGCAAACGTATGTGGAACGTTTGACAGGCGAATGTATCTCTACAGCGTTCTACACCTCATGAAGAGAAAATAAAGGGCACTTATTTTATTTCTTAACCGTTTTATCACAA